ATGAAGAGGCAAGGATAAAACACAGCATCAGATTGCCCCAGTGGTGTGTGTATGTGTGTATAATCTGGGAAGGAAAGGATATCTCTGCGAGGTTCTCCTCATGGAGGTTTCTCCTGAACCATTCCATCAGAGAGATGGGCTTATCTTCTGTGGAACAAGGTATGGGACTAGCCCCCAGACCTTGTGAATCCTGGAGGGTGATCTGCAGGAGGCCAGAGTATCCCTATTTACATGATGATCCATACCTTTGTCACCCTGAGGTTAGACTACTGCAGTGTGCCCTGCATGGGGTTGCAACTTAAACCAACTGGGAAATTGAAACTGGTGGAGAGGGTGGCAACCTGCTTAGTAAGCAAGGTAGCTTGCCAGGAGTACATGGCATTAGTGCTGTTCTGTATTCTGTGGTGGGCTACATATGTGGATTTTGACCTCTAAAGCGCTAAGGGTAGGTCTACATAGCAAAAAAAAACCTGTGGCTGGCCCGTGCCAGCCAACTCAGGCTCATGGGTCTCGGGCTGGGGGGGCTGTTTCATTGCTGTGTAGACTTCTCAGGGGAGTCTGAGCCCTGGGACTCGCCCACCTAGCAGGGTCCTAAAGCCCAGTCTCCAGCCTGAGCCCAGAAGTCCACACAGCAGTGAAACAGCCCTGTAGCCTGAGACCCACAAGCCCAAGTTGGCTGGCATAGGCCAGCCAGTGGTGTCTAGTTGCTGTGTAGACATACTCTAAAGTACTTGGGTCCGTTTTGTTCTGAAATGACCTTTGTTGATCTTCACAGCATACTGCAAGGGCTGCCTCCTTCCTTGAGGAGGGACAGGGGCTGATGTTTGTGGACAAAGGGCTATTATTTATTTTTATTATGAATAGGTTTGGTTTGGTTTGTATTTGCTTGGGGGTCAGGAGAAGCTCCTGGCTTTATTTTTATTTCATTGTATTTGTAATGTATAGTAAAGGCACCTAGAGCCCAGCACAGGCACTTGAAAAAAAAAAATAGGGTGGGATTGTCAAAAGTGCCTAAGTGGTTTAGGACCATAAGCCCCGTTGAGTTTCACTGAGACTTGTGCTCCCAAGTCACGTAGGTGCTTTTGAAAATCCCACCTATATCTATTATACATTTAAATAAATACAACATGAAATCCTGGCTAATGTTCTAGATCTCAGTATAATTCATCTTGGAAATAGTAAACCATGAAAATGTATTGATTCACCCCAAATGGTTTTCAATAAACAAGTCACAATTTTTCCTGTATGTAATATTATAGTAATAAATGGTATCTCAAGTCTTGCAATGGTTATTTTTAATATCTAGCTAATATAAGGTACTAACTGACCTGTTTAATGTATAATGCATATTATTACAGCAGTAACAGCCAATGTGAACAAAATAAAGTGTTGTCAACTCTCACGATTTTATCATGAGTCTCGTAACATTTTCTCATTTTGAATTGCTCTCTTTCTAGGTAAAGGGCAGTATCTTCAGATTGAGAAGTTATTCTAAAATCATTTACTTCTGTAATATGCCATTTATTGCAGTATCAAGACACTCCAAAGGGGCACGTGACACTGATATGTAATATCGTTCTGTAAGCAGAAATTAATGGACATTCCCCAGTTTTGATGAATCCTCTATCTCTGCTAGTACATCAGTTACAAAATCACAATTCGGTACTAGACAAAGGCCCACAATAGCAGCAGGGTAAGGCTGACTATGACGTGAGGCTGATTTGCAGTTTACGAAATATGTGGGTGATTTTCCAGTGTAGCTATTTTTCACAAATGGTTGTAGCAGAGTAACCAAGGCAGAAAGCTGCCGTATAAACGTGGGAGGATTTAATTGGCAGTAAGGATCATTCTATGCAATTTTTCTTTAACTTTTTAGCCCAACCATGTTATCTTCTTTTTTAAAGGATAATCCTTAAGGAAAGTTTAACGGTTTAATTTACTTTCATTCTTGTTTGTTTAATATTTGCATTCCTGTCCCATTGAACAATAAGTGAAGATTACTTCATTCTATTTTGGGGCCCTGATTGCAAGATTGATTTGAAACTGATTAAAAATTAAAGTTTCAATTTCATTTTCTGGTTCTCATACACTATCACAGTGCAGCAAAATGTGTGCTGCAAATTGCAGGGGATTTTTTATAAACAAAATTGATTTCGTTGTGATTTTTTAAAAAATTGAAATGTTGGTCTTAGAGTTTCTAAAGCTTGTTTTTACAAGACTTTACATTTTGGACTGAATTAGACCTGTCAGTTTCCTTTAACTATGGTTGCCATTTAGCCCTTTGTTAGTGATTGTGTTGGTTGTCAGTAATTGTGTTGGCCTCCTCAACTGGGGATTACAATGGACGAGAAGCTGGATATGAGTCAACAGTGTGCCCTTGTTGCCAAGAAGGCCAATGGCATATTGGGCTGCATTAGTAGGAGCATTGCCAGCAGATCGAGGGAAGTGATTATTCCCCTCCATTCAGCACTGGTGAGGCCACATCTGGAGTATTGCGTCTAGTTTTGGGCCCTGCACTACAGAAAGGATGTGGTCAAATTGGAGAGAGTCCAGCATAGGGCAACGAAAATTATTAGGGGGTTGGGGCACATGACTTACGAGGAAAGGCTGAGGGAACTGGGCTTAGTTAGTCTGCAGAAGAGAAGAGTGAGGGGGAATTTGATAGCAGCCTTCAACTACCTGAAGGGGGGTTCCAAAGAGGATGGAGCTCAGCTGTTTTCAGTGGTGGCAGATGACAGAACAAGGAGCAATGGTCTCAAGTTGCAGTGGGGGAGGTCTAGGTTGGATATTAGGAAACACTATTTCACTAGGAGGGTGGTGAAGCACTGGAATGGGTTACCTAGGGAGGTGGTGGAATCTCCATCCTTAGAGGTTTTTAAGGCCTGGCTTGACAAAGCCCTGGCTGGGATGATCTAGTTGGTGTTGGTCCTGCTTTGAGCAGGGTGTTGGAGTAGATGACCTGCTGAGGTCGCTTCCAACTCTAATCTTCTATGATTCTATTATTCTAACTGTGGTAATGAATGTTTGTAACATATAATATATAATGATGACACAGCTGCAGTTTTATCATAATGAAATATACGTGGTCTGTAAGACCTCCATATTCTGTCATTTTTATATGCTTGATTCCTGTGTTTAACCTTTTGACAAGATCTTTTCTCTGCAGTTAAAGAGAAAAAGACATGAAAATAAGATTACAAGACAAACCTTCCCATTTGGGAGGAATAGTTGGACTGGGTTGAGTTTTTTTGCACTTGATGGAACTGTGGGGAGTCTCTCTTCATTTTCCCAGCTTGGATAATGTTCAGCCCTTGATACCTTGCACTGCAGGCGTTGTCCTTTCAGCCGAGGAGCTGCAGATGAGGTTTCTGTGGAGCCTGTCCGAGTTCTGTTGGATGGCATGAGGCACTCCCTCCAGGGTTATAAGCACATCAGCCCTACTCTGGAGACAGTCATGCCCAACTCTGTGCTAGGGCGGTTGTCAGCCTCTGGTCAAATTCCTCATAGTAGGGGCAGGTAGCCGGGGAGTTCCCAGTCACCATTTCCATCCTTTACTTTGCGATGAGTAGTCTGGAAGTTTTTGATCTGCTCCCTGCACCAGACAGTGGTGCAGTAGATCTCGAATCCCACCTGCCTCTTAGAGGTCTTTTCAGATAAATGCAGATTTTTGGTGCTTCTGTCAAAATCATGGGCCTCATAGTCCTCATACCACAGATGGACCAGGATCCTGCAGTGTTATACCCTTGTACCTCCGAATGAGCCAGCAACCTGTGTTCTGAGAGGTGCAGGTAGCCTATCAGAGGGTTTTGTGTGTGTACGGTAGTGGGGTTTGGGCTTAAACACTTGTCAGAGCCCATGCCCATGTTGCATAGTAGTCATACCCTCAAGGGCTGGATGCTTTGGGTGAAATCCTAGCCCCACTGAAGTCGATGTGAGTTTTGCCATTGACTTCAGCGGGGTCAGGATTTTATCCTTTGTCTTTGGCTATGTCTACACTACGCAGCTTTTAGCAGCAGGGCTGTGTCAATACAGCCGTGTTGCTAAAAGTCGTGCAGTGTAGCTGCTGTTTGTCGGCTCTCCTGCTGACAAAAAAGACTTCCACCCCCAACGAGCGACGTCCGTGTTGTCGGCAGGGAGAGTGCTCAGCCGACAAAGAGTTGTTCACAGTGGTGCTTGTCATCGGCAAAACTTTTGTCTTTTGGGAGGTGTTTTTTTTTTTTTAACACCTCTGAAAGACAAAAGTTTTGTCGTTCAGTTGCCAGTGTAGACATAGCCTTTAAAAAGCTAAGATGCTGGGATCTGGAGTCAAACCTGAGTCTCTTGCATGGCAGTTTAGAATATTCCTAGTGAGTTACTGGACTGTCCTTGTCAGAAGTTAAAAGGTAGGTTCTATTTAAATTGAATTTGCAGTATATTGCAATGAATTATAGGTTACCGGTATGTATAATAAATTATTATCTGTACAAATTACGTTTTAAAAAAATCTTATTGGCATGACATTGCAAAGGCCTCTGCCTGCATTAACATGATGACAGACAAATCCAATTACTAGGGCAACATGTCCAAATTAACTAATAAAAAGTGAGCAGCAGAAAGGATTAAAAGAAATATCTACCATTGGGAAGTAATAAACTATCAGAAGCCTGGGGGAATATACAGCAATGTAGGTGCAGTCGTCAGAGGTGCAGGCAATTGAAATAATTAGGCACACAATTTATATGGGGCCCTGGAAATTCTGGCCCAGTAGCTCATTTCCATCTGTAATTTCTATGATTCTGCAAGTTAATGGTGATCAGCTGTTTCCAGCATTTCCTTTCATATGTATGCCATCCTGAATTAGCCTCATGCAGATAAATGGGGAGGTAGATCTACTGCTTGTTTTGACATGGAGTGATAATGGGTAAGCACAGTCAATGACAGACAGATACCCTTCTGCATTTGGCTTGGTGTTCTCAATTCGCTGTCATCAGGTCAGGTTTCTTATTTGTGTTTGTGACCAGGCGAACAGAGATGCAGTAATTAGCCGTGCCCCTGACCAGAAGGATGATCGAGCTGTCAGCCTCCAGGATGCTTCTGCAGTGTATGACCTTCTGAGTATCACGCTGGGCAGAAGAGGGCAGTATGTCATGCTTTCTGAGGTACGTGATCTTTTACTGAGACATCAGCCTAATTCTTGCAAACAAACACTGTCCTTTGAAGAAAAATTGTTGAATGTTGGTGGTGGAAGTGAGCAGGAAAGAGGGTAGTTGAAAATTTTTAGAAACAGTTTCAAGTCTGTGTCAGTCTAGGTCAAAAATATACACATCTGAGTGCCCAAACTGGGATCCTAAAGCCATCCACAGGCACTTAAATAAAATGGGCCTGATTTTCAGAGGTGCTGAGCACCTGCAGTACCCATAAACTTAGGAGAGAAATTGGAAAGGGGAACATTGCGATAAAAGATCACCTCTGGCCATTTCAAATTGTAGGGTTACCATACGTCCTCTTTTTCCCGGACATGTCCGGCTTTTCGGCACTCAAACCCCCGTCCGGGGGGAATTGCCAAAAAGCT